TCAAACAGTTCTAAAGTTCCAACCACTGACAGAAGCCAGAAGCTGCAGAGACTCAACTGAGGGAATGAGTGGATCCATCTGCTGTCCCAGGAATGGCTGGCCTGAGAAGTGTGTGCTTGAGAACCTGGCTGGGGAGACAGGGAAGAAGGAGCAAGGTAAACACAGCTGATGGGGAAGTTCTTTGATCAAAGCTTTGGCCAACCTTCCCCCTATAGCCCCCAGTTTCACTCCATACTGCGTTTCTCTTACTAGTGGAAGATGAGTGAATAGGCAGAGAAATCTTAAAGAGAGAGACCACCTCCAGGGATGCAAAAGCCAGAGCCTGCACAGCCTTGATGTCCTGAAGCTCAAGAAGCTGTCGGTGAGCTGAGCCCTCTACACTTCCTTCCCAGTGGAAGAAGACAGACCCCTTATTTCTCTTGGCTTGGCGGTGAGGCTTAGTGTCTCCAGTGGGATCAAAGAGGCAAAGAAAGAAGGTCACAGGTGAAGAGGAAGCAAGAAGGGTTCAAGGATAACAATTAGTCTTAAAAGTAAGGTAGGTCTAAGGCTAAAGGTGTAGCACCAAAGCCAATGGAAGAAGAGGAAGATCTATACCAGAGACAACCTCTGCTAGCTCTGTCCAGTCCTGCCCTGTCCAGCAAACTACTGCTGGGTGCTACAAAAGCTAAGAAGACATGATTCATAAGCTTGTGAAGCTCATTGGTTTCTAGACAGCAGGTGATTACAAAGCCTAATAATATATGAGTGCCAGAGGTGAGTACAGGGTGCTAGGAGCAAACAGAGAAGCAATCCTAATCTTGCCTGGAGTCCCAAGGAAGGCTTCCTAGAGAAGACGGGTATAGGTTCTTTGAGGGCAGGAACTATATTGTATACTTGCATGCACACGCATGTACACGTGTGTGATATGCACCCTTCACATCCCTGCACAATATTTTGCATATGGCAGATACTTAATAAAGGCAAATCCTAATTCTTGAGTGAATTCAAGAATTAATTATTTTTTCTACTATGTCTGTGAACACTCCTCTGCTTTCTTCCTAAGTCTTGTTGCTCTTCTTTTCCTTTGCTGGAAATACCCAAAGAGCTTCATCTGGGGGTAAAATCCAGTAATCTGAATCTCAAAAAGTTATAGAAATGGCCATTTTATGACATGAGACAAAATGAGAGAAAAGTATACTTGTTGCCCCCAGTTAGAATGGGAAATCACCATTGTTATGCTCATCGTAGAGCATTTGTTGAATGCGCACTGTGTGCCAGTTGCTATTCTAAGTGTTTTAAGTATGAATTGTGCTAAGTCCTTTAATCCCCACAGCAGCCCAGTGAGGTGGGGAGTATTGCAGATTTAGACTCTTACACACAGAGGGGTCGTGTAACTTGCTCAAGGTCCCAGGGCAAGCAGATGGTGGAGCCAACAGAGTCTGGCTCCAGAGTCTGTAACTTGTACTACATCCCACCCTCAGGACTGAAAACTTGAAAATTCAAGCATCTGGAATTTACACTCTAATGTATAGACCAGAGATCGCTCATTATTTAAAAACCTTTTGAGGCCGCATAATCTCCACCAGTTCATTTTTCTCTAACGCCCTCTGTTTCCCTGTAGGGACTGACAAGTCCTAAATTCGAAGAGCTTTATAGTTGGTCTCCTTTGCCCAGGCTTTTATTCCAGTGATAATAAATGTACAGCATAAAAAAAGATACTGTTAGAACCATGGGGCTCATCCTTTTCTGCATCAAATAGTAGGGACAAGTCAAAATCCTACTGCATTCTGGCAATAAGAGGTCAAGAAGGCCTGGGTACCAGGATAAAAGACCATAATAGCAGAATAGGCTGTCTTGGCCCCAGTTGTTTCAGCTTTGGTCTCACCATCTGAAAAATAGAGCTGATGATCTTTCAGCCTCAGTGTACTGCAAGGTTAACAAACCCATGTTTATATCTGGGAGGTCAATATGTTCTCAGAGGAAACGAAGATGACTAAGATGTAGTAACCCAAAAAACATCATTAACAGTGACTAGTATTAATCTTCTTTGATTCTTTCTAAGTATTAAAATCAACATGGGCCAGGCACAGTGACTCACACCTGCAATCCCAGCACTTTGGGAGGCTGAGGTAGACAGATGACTTAAGCCCAGGGGTTCAAGACCAGCCTGGGCAACATGGAGAAACCCTGTCTCTACAAAAAAATATAGAAAAGTTAGCCAGGCATGTCCCATCTACTTGGGAGACTGAGGTGGGAGGATCACCTAAGTCTATGGAGATTGAAGCTGCAGTGAGCCGTGATCATGCCATTGCACTTCAGCCTGAGTGACACAGTGAGACGCTGTCAAGAAATAAAATCAACATGAATCAAAACTCAAACTATTACTATAGAGGGGTAAAGAATAACTAAGTGAGGCAAAGGGGAGAAAGAGGATACTGTGAAAGGCCTCTGTGGTAGCTATGGACATCCACATACACAAATGTATTCAGTAGGGAAGTATCCACGTGTGGGTCTGTTCCCTCATCTCCATTACATCAACTTTTCCTATGGGTCACCATTTCCCTTCATTACTGAAACACTTCTTCTCTTCCAGAAGCAGACCCTGTGGTTACCTAAAGCATGGGGCTGAGGTTTTGTACAGAATCCCAGCTCAAACCCAAGTGGGAGTCACAGTCTGATGTCAAACCCCAAGGACAGATTTCAGACATATGAGATGAGTCTAATTTCTACTTTACTGATTACCATAATCTGTAAGATTATACCACACATAACATAAATCCTATTGTCTTTCCACAAACATTTATTGAGTGTGCATACCATGTGCTAGGGATTATTCTATGAACTGCGGATACAGAATTGAACAAAATAGCATAGACTCTTCGTCATCATCCCTGCCCTTATGGAGTTTACATTTCTAGAGGGAGAGACAAATTAGCACTCCCTGTAATAGAAGGTAATATGGTTTGGCTGTGTCCCCACCCAAATCTCATCTCGAACTGTAGTTCCCATAATCCCCATGTGTCACGAGAGTGACCCGGTAGGAGGTAATTGAATCACAGGGGTGGTTACCCTCATGTTGTTTTTGTGATAGTGAGTGAGTTCTCATGAGATCTGATGATTTTATAAGGGGCTTTTCCCCCTTTTGCTCGGCACTTCTCCTTCTTGCCATCATGTGAAGAAGGACGTGTTTGCTTCCCCTTCTACCATGATTGTAAGTTTCCTGAGGCCTCCCCAGCCCTGCAGTACTATCAGTCAATTAAAGCTCTTTCCTTTATAATTACCCAGTCTCGGGCAGTCCTTTATAGCAGCATGAGAATGGACTAATACAGAAGGAAGTCAATATTAACAAAGTATTGATCTGTAGTTCTAAGAGAGGAGTAAATGCATTCATGATAGTTTGTCTTCTTCATGTATCAACACTAGATTTCTCAGTGCTGTACAGGATTCTAATGAACATTAAAACATGACCCTGCGGCTTGTGTCATATGGAAATTGATATAGGTAGTTACCATCATGTTTTTTTCCTCTCTTCTCCTCTTCATGTAGAACAAAGACACCAAGAGTATCAGTTCACTATGAATTATATCCAAGGGAGGGGGAAAAAAAAAAGAAACCCAAATGGAATACTGAAAGCAGAGGTCCAGCAAGTAGAACTCAATCCTGTAACTTAATCATTTGATCAAAAAGGGGTTTAATGAATGCTGAATGCCTACTGTGTGCCTAAGGCTTGTGCTGTGTGCCGTGAGAAACCCCAGAAAGAAAGTGTTATGGCATGAATTCCACCCTCAGAGACAAAACAGGAAACAATTAGTGAATAACACAGAAAAATTATTTTAGCTCTTTATGACAGCACAAAGCAAAGGATACAAAAATACATCTAGAGATAGTTTTCATTTCCTTTTCTAAAGTAAATCGGGACAAAATGCTAATTCACCTGGTTTGACTGATAACTGATACTCCCAGCAGGAGACCAGGCACATTCAGGGACATTTTTCTTACTCTAACAGCAGTTAGCCTGAAGGCAAGGGATGGGTGGAACTTAAGGATCTCTGGGTTTTCTAGATCAGGCCCTGGGAGAAAGCTGTGGTGAGGGTCTTTTTGGCAAATGTGGAATATAAACAGAGCATGTTGTCTCTGGCCCTTCCCAGGCCCCAGCATAGACTACAGACATAATAACATGGTACACACTTTTACTGCTCTACGGCTGCCAGGTGACCTGCAGGCTCGCCTGCACTGTGTATCCTCTGCAGAAAAGGGACATCAGCTTTGTGCTAGTATTATCAGGATGTGCCCTGTAGCTTTGCAGAAGTTTTCTACCCTTGAATCCTATTAACTTAGGCTCTTTGATATTTTGTGTCCCCATGGCTACTAAAAGCAATGCATTTAAGCTAAATTGCTATTAGTAACAGTTTCCCTTTTCATTAGATGGGGTTGGAATTTAAAAAAACCAGGAAGAGAAAAAGAAAAGAGAATAAGGAGAAATGATGTGAAAGAAAAGGCTGCTTTCCTAACAACTCTTTATTTTCCCCAATGAAAATTTGTTAAGGATATTGCAAAGAAAATGGGTGTGACCTCATCCCTGAAACCACATGAAACATTGTGTTTCGGCCTGGGCACAGGCAGCTGGGAGGGAGAGCCTTGAAGGTCACTGAGTCAGATCAAAACCTCAGAGTAAGTGTAAGCTTACCTCGGGCAAGGGATGAGAGGCATCCACACAATGGAGAGGCAAAAAGTGAGCAACAGAATCAGCTGGACACTCAAAAAGACCATTGTCTTGAGCACGAGGCAGCAGGAAAAGAGAGCCGCTGCTGGGCTCTCCTGGAGCTCGGCTGATACAGAGTGCTGGAATCCACAAAGGCCAGGTAGGCCCTGGGAGGTCCTCATCTATTCAGGTAGCAGGCAACGGCTCTCTTGGCCTTCCAGAGGGGCTGGACGTGAGCATGTCTGCTAGGCTTTCAGCTCGCTGTTGAAGATGTTGTGATTACCTGTAAGACCATCATCCAAAAGTTTGCCGGGTGTTGGGTCCTGGGCAGGGCAGCACCTTGATGTTAGAAACACAGAGGCCGGGCTTCACTTCTGGCCTCTGGACTTGCCTTTCTTACTAGAGGGACAAGACATATGCTTTACAACTGTGTTTTATTTATTTATTTATTTTTATTTATTTATTTTTTTGAGACAAAGTCTCACTCTGTCGCCCAGGGCTGGAGTATAGTGGCGCAATCTTGGCTCCTGCAACCTCTGCCTCCCTGGTTCAAAGTGATTCTCCTTCCTCAGCCTCTCAAGTAGCTGGGACTACAGGGTGTGTGTGATTTTTGTATAATGCTAATTTTTTTTTTTTTTTTTTTTTTTTGAGACGGAGTCTCGCTCTGTCACCCAGGCTGGAGTGCAGTGGCCAGATCTCACGCTCACTCAAGACTCCGCCTCCCGGGTTCACGGCCATTCTCCTGCCTCAGCCTCCTGAGTAGGCGTGGGACTACAGGGCGCACCGCCACCATCGCCCGGCTAAGTTTTTGTATTTTAGTAGAGACTGGGGTTTCACTGTGTTAGCCAGGATGGTCTCGATCTCCTGACCTCGGTGATCTCGCCCCGTCTCGGCCTCCCCAAAGTGCTGGGATTACAGGCTTGAGCCACCGCCGCCTGGCCTTTTTTTTTTTTTTGTGTATTTTTAGTAAGCTAAGACAGGGTTATTGCACCCATTGGCCAGGCTGGTCTTGAACTCCTGACTGACCTCAAGTGATCCCCCCACCTCGGCCTCCCATAGTGTATTATAGCGTGAGCCACCAGCGCCCGGCCACAGCTGTGTTTTACAGAGGCTCATGAAAGCCCTTCACCCCCCTATTGTATTCTTGAGGATGCTCTTGTTCCTCTCCTCTGGAAGACAGAAAAAATTATCCCCATCATCACTGTAAGTGTGGTCTTTGCCATTCCTGAGAAAAGTGAGATCAAAGTGCATTTTCTTCTACAATACTAACTAGCAGTTGTATCCATAGAGGCTGGACTTGAGAGGCAAGTCCATGAGGCAATGAAGAGAGAATTTGTGCCAGTCCAGTCCTTTCCCATTTATTTGGCAATGTTGTTTAGGACCAGTCAATAGTAAGAAGTTGACTCATCTCATTCTAATATATGAGCACCTACACATACCAGACACTCTGCTAGGAACTTGCAATATTAAGTTGAAAACCACACATTTCCTTGGGGAACTCAAATGGGTTGAGGAATTAATACAAACTATAATACTAAAATAATTGTATATGATAGATCAGTCTCCCTCCTTTCCTGACTTTGACTTCCCTCAATTCTATATTGAAATTCTGAATAAATGTGTGCTTACTTTGTACACCTCTTTGAAATGCAGAATAGTCAAATCTTTTGCACACAAATTATAAGTCATTCTTAAAGGGGTAAATGAGGAAAAGAGGAACAGAGGAGTGAAAATAGAAAAGGAGTAAACAGGAGGTGTAAGAAGTAGACGTGCTTGCATTGAAGTCTTGATAAGTTTTAAAGTAGATGAGTTGGTGGGTGAATGGCATCCACTCCAAATCATGTCATGTCACAGCTCAGGAATGGGACCTTATTTGAAAATCAGGTCATCAAAACATGCTGAAGGTAAAGATTGAAATATGATCATGCTGGATCAGGATGGGCCCTAAATGAGAAAGTTCTATTGAGAGACAGGAAAGAACACAGAGTCACACACAAGAAAGCAGGCTAGGTGAGGACAGAAGCACAGACTGGATGCTGCTGCCACAAGTGAAGGAACATCAACTGTCACCAGAGGCTGGAGGAGGAAGAGGCAAGACAGGGTTTTCTGCTAGAGCCACTGGAGGGAGTGCAGCCCTGCTGAGAGCCTGGCTTTGGACTTCTGACCTCCAGAAATGTGAGAGGATATGTTTCGCGACAATTTGTTATTATAGCTGCAGGAATCACAAGGAGGAAGGGTAACCAGGTTCTTAGCACTGGGAATTGGTCTGAGAAGAAGAAGGTTGCTAAGATAGGAAAGAAGAGTTGACAGGTTTGTTTCTGCACACAGATACCAGGGCCATGCCTGAGGCGATAAACCCTGGGAGATGAGTAGAAGGGCTGACAATTACCCGTTGAGCTGGGCCTCGTTGGTTAAATAAGATTATCCTAAACCTTTCTATCTCAAGTACCAACTTACTTAACATTTCTGAATCACGACAGAATTATAAAAATGTAATGCAGCCACAAGCCAGGGAGCCCAACCTGGCAAACCTCATGGGCTGAGAGTCAGAACCCTGTGCCCCCTTGGCCAGTCACAGTCCTATGATCCCAACCTGCACACTGTAGCCAGTGGCCCAGCAGGCAGAACTAGAGGGGTGGAAAATCAACAATCCTAAGTCTGCAAGCCAAGAAGACATTGAATATGTGGATGGAAAATGAGACTCAGAAAAGGAAAACCTCTCTGCATGCATATTATCTGCAACAAATCAAAACAAATAAGCAAGCATCTCCTTGAATCTGCTGGGAAGAAAATTTAACACTTCTTTTTTTGAAGCAGGAATGGTAAGTGAAAATTGAGTGCTTTATCCACTACTAGTAATTTAAAAATGTGCAAAATCTCAATTGCATTGTCTTTATTTAGACATCGGCTTTGATGATTAATGTAAAGATGACTTTCCATAAATTTATCCCCCCTTAGGGCCTTATTTTTCCACACGATCTCAAGTTCTGCAAAAGAAAAATGTCCTTTCTCCTTACCAAAACCCCTGCAGCGACTCTAGCCTGATGAAAAAGTACATTCAGGTCCCTAAACTGGGGCAAACTAACTAAAACATTTACATGGGACTGTGTTGACATGCGACGTATTCTGCAACACTACCTTCCCCTATCTTGTCACCTGCTCCTCACCTCCTCGGGTGACAGGAACTGGTATGTGCCTATGTTCAATTAAGCATTTGATAAACTAAAGGGGACTGAATGGAAAGGTTGGCAGAAAGAAAGGCTTCGAGAGGAAGAACCACTGAAGGGGAAACGACAGATGAACAGTCCAAGGTGGTCAGAGGTGTTTCTGGGGAGAGACAGAAAATCACGATGCTGCAGGCATGGACAGCGATCATAACATCATGTTAAGAGGTTTAAACTTTATTTTGTAGGTGATACGGAGGTACCAGAAATGAGTAGTTGCAGTGTCTTAGAAACTTCACTCTGGCAGCAGAAAAGGATGAATGCTTTTGTAGGAGAGATGATGGGTTAAGTTTAAAAAAAAAAAAAGTGGGGGGGTGGGCAAGAGGCAAAAGAGCAGGTAGGAGTCCAGTTGGTCCTAGTACAGAGAAGAGATGAAGAGGGTCTGAACCAGGGGAGTAGGAGCAGGAATGGGAAAAATTAAAGAAACAATTTGAAGTAGAATCAACAAGATTTGGATGATCAGTGGGAAGGGATATTTTTTATCTGAGCCTGATTTATTCCCGCCACCCACAAAAGGAGAATCCAGGACAGAGGCGTGTGTGCAATTTGTTTATCTGGGAGCAAGAGTGAGGGATCAGGGCAGTGGAACAAGAACAAATGAAAAAGAGAAGCAAGGACGCCACTAAGTGACTACTAAGTTAGCCACTGCTGCGGTTGACTGGAGCTTGATGTCTCACTAAGGCCTTCCAAGGAGACTTATGAAATGTGTTATCCCTAGGCTTCCATCTCCATGGGTTCAGGGTGTCCCCACGGGCATCACTCCCCCTGCACTTGAAGCTATGCACACATGAGAGCTGAACAGGATCCTGGCTCCTCAGGTGTCCACACCAACACCAGAGAAGCCCCAGGGCAAGACATGAGAGGTTCCTGGTGTGAACCCAAGGTACGTGTCACTGCAGCTGGACTAAGCTGGTAGCATCCTGCCTGGAAGTGGTCAGCCAGGCAGTAGCTGGAGCAAGAAGTCAGGCTAAAGACATGAGAGAAAAGGAGCCAAAGGTGGCTCCCATTCCCAATGAGGCCATTCATCAAGACATAAGGCCTTTAGAAGAGAGGAGGCAATGTAGCGGAGACAGTTTTTACTGAAGTTTATGTGGGAATGCAAGGCCTTACATGGGCTCCCCTTGTGCCCCCACTGTTTTGACCTCACCTACCTTCTTCCTCTCACTCACTTGGCTCCAGCTGCTGCCTCCCTGTTCCCCCTCAGACACACCATGCACACCCACTCACAGCCTTCATAGCTGCCATTCCTTTTGCCTGGAGGTCCTTCCCCCAGAACCTCCTAGTTCACTCCCTCACACCCTTAAGGTCTCTGTTCAAATGCCGGCTCATCAGAGAGCCCTTCTCTGACCACATTAGGTAACAATATCTGCTACCATAATGCTCTTTGTACTCTGCTTTTCTCTTCATAGCATGTCTCCATTTGACACATATTTATTGATTTGCGAATTGCTCTTCCCCCTTCTCCACTACAGTGTAAGCTCCATGAGGGCAGGGACTGTGTACCCTGCTGCATCCCCAGCTCCTAGAACAGTATCTGACATGTAACAGGAACGTTCAATAAATGTTTGCTGAAGGAATGGCTGCTCACTAGCTCAGACTGGTACATGTGGGGTTGAAGGAGCTCTGGCCCCTGGCGAAAACACTCATTGGAGATGTAAGTGTGGACTGGGAAAATGCAAGTGACTGACATCATGAGAGCCTGTGACCTGGGCTGGCTTTGCAGGCATGTCACTCGTGTGTCACACAACCCCTGCCATTCTTGTGTGTTTGTGTGTGTCTGTGCATGTATCCCCGTGCATTCAGGAGAGCCCTGTGCTTGGTTTAATGCTCTACTGTCACTATCTTGAAATTCTGAATCACTATGTTTTTGAATTTGTGTCTGTAAGTGAGGTCCAATGGGACAATGGAACATCTGCATGAGCAGAGGGGACACATGCACCCATCGTTCCTTGCTGCTCCCTTTGTATGATGCCCCATCCACATGGAATTCTGGTGGCCCCATGATATATAGGAGATGAATGGGACTCAAAGTGAGTCCAAGGTAAGAGTACTATGTCGATGACTGAGTCAGCTGGGGCACTGGCAGCCCCAAGAGGCCACTAGCACTTGCTTCCTATACATGAAAGCATTGACATTCTAAAGGGACAACAGTTCCTTTTCCTTTCAGTCCTTACT